TACCGATAAGCTGGCACGTCTACGTCGGTGTTCAAGGCTCTGCAGCTTCGCCTCTACTAGTTCCGAGTCACCTATTATAAGCCTCTTAGCACGCTTGTCTATTGAATTCAAGGTGGACAGTTGGTATTTAGCAGTGCCATCTCATAAGTGGCAGCAGTACTCCATACACGACCGGACTTGTGCTTGGTACAGCTAAAGCAACTGTTCTGGTGTGAAGTATCGCCTCACCTTGAAAAAGATACCAAGCTTCTTGGTTGCATTCTTGGCCATGGATTCAATGTAACTGCCGAAGTTCAGATTGGACGACAGGTCCATTCCAAGTAGGTGAAGACGGTGGGCTATCGGTATGGATATACCACGAAAAGTCGGAGTCAGGTGAAAGGGACTCCGTTTAGTGGAGAAAAGACACGCGTGCGTTTTGGTAAATTTGACAAGATTGGCATCGCCCTAATCGGAAACTCCCTTAAGTATCAAATTCAAACGACTAACCATGGACTCTCGACAAGACTGAATTTCCTCTCCACTGACCCTTGCATTGGTCAAGTACCTGTCCACAACTGCATACCCAAAAGTACCTGGAATCAACATATCGTTTATATGCAGCAGAAAGAGGGTTGCTTCTAAGACCACTCGAATCGAATGTTCACTCAAGAAATCCGAAATCCAATTCCAAAGGTCAGTCGGAAGCCCATAAGAGGGAAGCTTGCTTAAAAGACTTGCGTGCCAGACCCTAGCTGTCAAAGGCCTTAGAAATGTCTAAAGATACTGCAATGGCTTCGCCATGCTCTTCAATACCCTCGCTCCATAAGTGAGAGGCATACACAAGAAGATCCACAGTAGATCGCCCTCTTTGGAATCCGTACTGGCGATTACTGAGGAGATCGCTGTCTTCAAGGTACGACAGGAGACGGTTGTTAAGTACACGTTCCATAGTCTTGCACAGTATGGAAGTGACTGAGATAGGTCTATAGATGACAGGGTGAGCTCTGCTTCCTTTTTTAGGCACTGGTTGCACATTTGGAAACTTCCACGACCTGGGAACTACACCAGTCTCAAGCGAGAGGCGATACAGGCGTGTGAGAATAGGAGACAACTCAGGCGCACAGTTACGCAGGACTAGTGGTGGAAATCCATCTGGCCCGCTAGCTTTATGCACGTATAGACTTCGCAGAGCTCTGAGTACCTCTTTTTGGCGTATGCGAACTGACGCCATATCCAGTCTGAGGTAAAGAAGGTGGTAGTTATCCTGCGGCATCCAGACGCGAACTGTCTGCAAAGAGTGAGACGAAGAGATTCGCCTTCTCTTCCGCAGTATGGGCCAGCGAGCCGTCTGGCCTCAGCAGAGATGGTAATACGTAAGTTATTAAAATTAGTACAGAATAGACATTTATATAGATACAAACAAGATATTAATAATACTTAGACAAACAAAACAAAATAGAAAGAATTAAAAACCAAAACAAGAAACACAAACAAGAAAAAAACAACATAAAGTAAAGCAAAACAGACAAAACGCAATAAACAAAATATAACGACTACACATTCGTACTGTCATTTGGGCCTCTTACAGCTTATGCCACAGCCATAACTGGACTGTGGCGCTGGTTTTCAATGAGCCCTAAGCCAAATATTAATTAATTTCTATCTAATATAACACAAGAATAAATAATCAACAGACGATATATACCGCTTTCTTTTATAAAATACTTAAGTACTGCAAACCTATTTGGCTAAACAACACATAAAAATATTTATTTGGGTAGGTGTGATTTATATTACTCGGCAACGGCCTTTTGTGTGTTAAATTTATATATATGTTCCACACCAAAAAAAATTGCGCACTTTTTTCAGGCTTTCAGTATAATTTGTCGTTTGAAAATGTTCGCAAGTAGATATAATTTGTGTCGTTTGTTTGAAAGCGGTGTATTTTTTGCGCGTTAGCGCGTGCGGCGTTACCAGCACGACGTGTTTTGCGAAGAGGCCCTTCACAATACGTGTATTTTATTTTATTTAATGTAGAGATAAGTCGTCTGATCGATTGACCTTCGAAAGAGTAGACTCAGATGTTTATTTTAAGCCTATTTTATTTGAAGTATACGGTTTTAAGTTACGTGCAATTTTTTGGTTTATATTAAATCATCATCATCATCTTCAACAACCCATTTATACGTCCCACTGTTGGATTCGGGTCTCCTTTCAAGCGAAAGTTTAGGCCCAGGCCATAGTCCGCCTCGCTGGGCCAATGCGGGTTGGGGTTTCACACATTCTCCGAGGGTTGTCAGCCTTCTCCGACGTGCAGGTTTCATCACGATGTTTTTCTTCACCGGTAAATTCTAATGGCTCATGGTAAATTTCAAATTAAATTTCTCACACGAAGTACACGAAGTTTCCCACAGTCTCTACTAGAGACGCGACAGGTCAAACCATTAGACTACCACGGTTTTTTATTTTAAGTATTACGTAGGATTATTATTGCAAATTACATATAACTTATAATAATAATAATAACTCATAGCGCCGCACTAGGGAGATCCTGCATCGCGGGTGCCATGGACACACAAATTACACCCAAACTCACGTGCGAAATAAATGTAGGCCATACAAACATTTCACCCGGCCCGGGAATCGATCGTGCGACCTCTGCGTGGCAGACCAGAATGGTAACCGTACGGCCATGGAAGGCAGTTTGTATAAATATAATTATGAAATCGAATAGAGGAAATATATACAGACGCCATTTTCTATACTAATTCAATGAATATAATTTATATGAATTAATAGTTAAATTTTCAGGTAATTAAAAAAACACGAACATCTTTCGTCTTAAAGATTCCGAGGTCACCCATCAAATTTTCTTTTACTTACTAACCTATAATAACGTAGGTACTCATTTTACAATCACACCTTGTGAAAAATAGGCCACATAATAGTAATAATGTTATGGAAACACATCGATGTGTTTCCATTACATTATTATTCAATAAAATTATTGAATGAAGTTTTGAATCTATATTATAACAAATTTCTCGATGTTTTAGACATCCTCTCACGATTATTTATTGAATCAAAAATATTCGACTACATGAATATCAATATCATCATATCGAGTATTGCAATAATTCTCGAAGCAGTAGATTGACCCGCTGCAGTCTAATAAAATAAAGACTCGACCTTGGTAGCTGTCCCGCATTATGTAATGGATGAATAAACATTGCCAAAGTCTTCTTTGTGAGTAAGCTTTCGCACGGTATATAACATATGTATAGTACAGCTACAACAATCGCTACCCCAAATTACGGCGTCTAAATCCTCTTAGCTCCATCTATTGAATTCGACACGCGTAGCTATTTGGCTTTGCATGGCAAATACACTGTGTAGATACACCCATTAAGTCCTACATACGTATACAGGATTACAATAGCAGTAAATCTGCTTAGTTAAACCCGTATAACTTAATTTATTTCATAGGTAATTTACTACCTAACACGGTATACAAAATTGTACCAAATAGGAAATCAGTATTTATCGAAACATAACTAAGTATTAGAAAGTTTTAAATGTTCGTCCCTAAGTTTAAAATATCGAAGAGAAAAATTACATCAAATGCTTGGTACATTAAATTCGTTAAATTGTAGTGCTGTTGAATTATTAGTATAAAGTTGAGTCTACTGCGCCGTGACCGCTCGCGCTTGGTTTTATGTCGATGCGTCATGCGCTTTTATCTTCTTAAGTCTATACTTACAGGTTCACCTATTCATACGAAATGATACTCTTTGAAAAATGATTGAATTTGTAGAATGAAAAAATTTGATGAATGAAGTTGCTTTCATTATGTTTATTCTCTCTATCCGTCTCTCTGTAATATTTCTATTTATTAATAGAAAGGCTTATAGAGCTAACATTATTTTGCTCATTTCTTTACATATGAATGATGACCGTGTGGAACATCAAGCTCGACTTTTTTTATGATACCAAGTAACGGGACGAACATGTCGTGCACCTGATGGCAAGTGACACGCCTGTCCATAACAGTTGCAGTGCTTACTGAGTTTTAAATCACAAATATCTGAGGGGCACTGCCGCTGTGCCCGTCACCCTGAGACTTAAGTTGACAAGTCCCGTGTGGCTGTAATTTCACCAACTAAGAGTGCTGCCCTTCAAAACCGAAACGCAGTAATTATATTTTTACATTACTGCTTGGCGGCAGAAATAGGTAAGGCAGTACTTCCCTGGGCGGACTCTTACACAAGGAGCTCTACTGCTACTTAAAACATTTTGGACTTTCGAAAGTACTTATCGCAAACGGTAGGTATAAACTTGTAACGTGCTCTTGTCCCTCTACCTGTCTATTCATCTCAATTTTTAAAGGAAAGAATCATTTTTTACAATCAATAGCCAGAAATGACCTCCGATTAACAACAAAACCGAATTAAACTTCTATGCATTATCCAATGTTAAATTATTAGTCAACTCTCTTCAATGCTTCGTCGTTTAAAAATTGACATGGATATGAAATATTAATAGATAACATAAAATGTTATTATTTTCGTTTCGAGATACATTTTTGGCAATTTAACTTCGTAATTAATTTTTTAGAGGAAAACATAAATCGCCTCCTAAAATACACTCTTGTTCTTAAATTTCCATGTTAAACCGTGTGCAAAGCCTTACTTACTCGTTTGTATGCACAATTTCAGTGGTTTTGTTTACGACAAAACATGCCTTTTGAATAAAGGCATTAATATTTTAAATTGTTAACAAGTAAAAAATATATTTTTGGCACTTTTAATAACATAAATTTACGGAAATAGTACTTACACAACCATCAAGTCGTAAATGTTTTAACAATGATTAATTGGCAGTGGTTTGGCAAGAATGTTAATGCAATTTCCGTGTGTCGTTACCGACGGCAATAGAAACATGAAAACATGCTGAAATTTGTCTAAAACGTAGACATCGGTTATTTACTTTCGTTTGTTTCCTTCTGTGACGGTACTTACCAACTCGTTTGGCCGTAATCTGTCTGGTAGAGTAATTAAAAGGCACATAAACTGTCTTGTCCACGGAACCGGCGAGTTCGGGCGAAAGTTTACTTGCAGCGCACACTTTGTCCAAACACAACACATTGTCGGAGGCACATCGACCATTAAACACTGTCGAAAACTCTCTGTACACAGTAGCACTGTCACTATCTTTAAGCAACACTTTGCTGTCTTTGGTGCCGTAGATTAATTCCGCCTCACCTTCCAACTCCTCTTGACATGATTCATCCGCCACAACTTTCATCTTATACACACCTGGCGTTCTCTTAGCTTCCAAAATAAAATCCGCACGTTCCCCTCGCCCGAGTACAATGGACGCGACATTTTCTGTGGTTATTATATGCCCATCCAATGCGACTAATTCCAGTAAATGTTGCTCAATTGAAAATTTAATAGGACAACTTTTTGTGCCCCCACCGTAAACCAAGCGAAATCTGAATCTTTTTCCAAATTTGATTTGAAATTTTGTCAATGGTGCATCAGGTGACTCAACTGTCTTGCCTTTTCCGTTGATAAGCAGGGATTCCGCGTTGAGAACGTTCGACATCATTCCAGCTAAAGGTCCCATAGAATGGCCCCATTCCGACACGAATATTGTGTGCTCAGTAGCATCAACATCATACATTTTTTTAACAGGATCCAGTCTACGCGATTGCCGAACAATAAAGGCTCCTGCCAGACCGTCAGCTGCATCAGCTGCAGAATGTGCGTGATACATATGCGTACCGGCTTCTGAAGCTCGGAACTTATATTGGAATGTTGTATACGCCGGCTGTGGGCACTGAGTGAACATGGGAGTGCCATCCATAAAAGGAGTTTCCTTTTGCGGCTGACCTCGCCAGTGTATTGATAGAGCGTGCGCCGGAGCCCTGTGTACCACATCTACTACCACGATGTCGTTTTGACAGACGTGGAATGCAGGAGCTGGAAGTTCTCTATTTGCTGACAAGACTCCTCTTTCTCTACCATCGGCTGATATACACATTGGCGGACAAACTCCCCCTTCTTTTTCAGTACAACTGCCACACGTCCTGAAAGCATACACAAATTTATTTCAACAGATCTGGTCTTAGTTTTACTAATTGTATAACAAATAAAGATTTATAATATAACGCTATAGTATATAGTATATATACTTAGTAAAACCACTTACTTGCTAAGCGTTTTGTAAACCTCAACGACTAATTTAACTCGACAGATCATGGGCCAATCCAACTCGTGGCATTCTCGATCGCAGTTCTCAAAATATTCCTCTGCAAATGTTAATGTTTTATGATTAACAAATGTTACTCTTAATAACAAAATAATTATAACGATCGATACCATAATAACAATGCGGAATAACAAGTAAGAGTCTTTTTGCATAAAAATTCGGTGGTCACCGTGCGAGCGCCATGCCCTTTCAAGTTAAATTGTGCAGCTCTACGAACACCGCGAAATTGTGTTTTCCAAGCTGATAACTTGTTCACCTTGAACTCATAGACTCAACATTCTAAATAATACAGTTACTTATATAAGAAGTACTTTTCTACAGTTTATCAAATAGTATATATAGTAATATAGCCAAATGGCATAATAAAAGGAACACATATAAGTAACAACTTTAAAAGGGCTATGGAGCCGGTAAGCAAAGAAACTCGGTATTATAGTAAACATAAAACATTTTTTACCTGGCATTGGCGTATAATAAACCACCACTATAACACCGATAAGAATTACAAATATCACTAATATTCTCTGCAAAGACATGAGCATATAATTAGGTTTCTGTAATTCAGCACTGGGCGCATCCTTTAGTTTCTTTTCAAGTTCCATCACTGCAGATTTGTTTCTCAGGTCGGTAAAATTTACGCACTGTTTTATTTTTGTGTTGAAGTATAGTCAATTACATGTTGGTGACAGGTTTTTAAAAAGTTACGAAGAGTGAAATTAGCAATTTTTACGTTTGAATATGGCGATCGAGTGGCGCTAAGCGCGACTGCGCGAGTCTACCAGCGAGTGGCGACTGGAACCCAGCCGTGGATTGCAACACAGAGTTGCACCTTCGAACCTCGTGCCTTCTCTCAAAATAATAATACATTTGGGAAGTATTGCTCTGAACTCTCTCTCTGTGTTAAGTTATGCAAGTTAATATTATACAACAACATTATTATTAAATCTCAAACTGAAGCCATTACGAATGGCTGACGACGTTACGTATCGCTCAAGTAACCTGCAATAGGTACATACGATATTTATTTAAATCACAAGAATATCGCGAATGCATCGAAATTTGTTACAAAATTTCTATTTCTTCTTCATTAGCTAATAACTAGGTAAAGATTATAATAAGTACTCATCACTAATATTAATATGAGTATATTTTGTTTATTTTGATTGAATAAGTACTAGTAACCAGAGTAAGATTTACTTCCAATATCATCGTAGAAATTTAAGTAAATAACTAACTAATCAAATTTAAGTCAGTAAATAATAAATAGAGTAGTTACATTTACTATTATAAAAATGTTATTCCCTACATTATAAGAAAACTTATATCTTAGGAGTCAGATGATCATGTGAATATTGGTATGATATACTTATTTGGTTTAAATATATTAGTCGTAATTAAACCAATTAATTATACCATCTTAGTTAATTAATAATAAATGCAATGAATAATAAATTTTAGATTATAGAAAAGTAAAGTCAAGTTATATCAGTCATCCGTCTATTCTCTATCTATTACATCATATCCCTCATTAACTTCCAAGACCACTAAGTACTTCGTTAAATACGTAACTTGAGATTGAGACATTTATTGAGGCATTTGCTGCGCCAATTTGCCAAGTTTTATTGAAATCGGTTACCGGAAAGAGCGCGAAAATGGATTCAACTTTTAGGGTTGTATTCTAGAACTCTACTCAATGCTCAAGTTAGGATTTGAGTATGGTTTAAAGCACTCGAAATCATACTCAAGTCCCTGCCATTAGGGTCGTATTTTCAGAGCTTGTGTTTCCATTGCAATCCTGACTTGAGGTAGAGGTCTAGAATACGACCCATAGAGTCGTATTCTAGAACTCTATTCAATGCTCAAGTCAGGATTTGAGTATGGTTTAAAGCACTCGAAATCATACTTAAGTCCCTGCCATTAGGGTCGTATCTCCAGATACTTAGATTGCCATCCTTAGAGATGGAACATTGTCTTTAACCCCTGGAACCTCTTTTCATTATTGAAAAGAACCTCCAAATCAGTTCAAAAATGCTGGAGTTATCGCGTAACATACATACAAAAACAAAAACCTACAGACGTATTGAAAACCTCCTCCTTTTTTGAAGTCGGTTAAAAATAGAGACAGACAGATAATGTAATTTTTTTGAAATTTCAAGTAATGCGTCAAAAGTGAAGAAGAATTGTATATAAGATAAAAGAGTAGTAATTTTTACTAAACGAAAATTCAACTGTCTCTTTGACAGATATGCGACTGGAAGTCTACCTTAGACTATCTTTTATTTTTAACCGACTTCAAAGAAGAAGGAGGTTCTCAATTCGACTGTACCTATGTTTTTTGTTTATTTTTTTTATGTATGTTACGCGATAACCCCGGTATTTGTGAACCGATGTTCATGATTCTTTTTTTGTTGGAAAGGGACTTCCAACTGGAACTTCCATAGTGGTCCCATTTCATTTTGAAGTATTCATCCACCTCTAATGGTGGCTGTTCACGCATTAAGATTCATTTTTATAAATAGCGCCTAAATTTTCTTAAGGAGCAATTATTTTAATGGTTGATTTTGCTATTTCTCCAATTCAAGGCGTTTTTCTCTCAATATTGTTTAAGTAGTGAGAACCAATTTTTTATTATCTCCAGTGTCAAGTCCTGCATAGTGGCGAATTTAAGGATATTTCAATAAAACTTAGCAAATAGACGTAATGCCACGTACTTTTGAGGTCGGTTTTTTAGTACTCTGTACTGAGATTATTTTCCATCCTGACAAACAACGATCGAAGATCGTGATTTGGCTTATTTCCATCCCTTAGGGATTTGACCTAGCTATTTGTATGGACACCACACTGAACTGTTATTGGCATTGTTTTGTTATTGACGTTATTGCACCAAACGTTATTGGCAACTATGGTTGCCAAACAAAAACAATACCGCCGCTATCCACTTTTTTTCTGCTTATTCTAGGGCGGTACCTCGAATCGCCTTCAAATTTTTGCTAGCATTTCTCAAAATAACAAGTAATCACTTGAAATTTTCGGACATCCCTACCAAGCAAATATAAAATAGAACATAAATGGGAGAATTCGCTCTGGACCTTTTGTAGGGAAAAGTGTCGTTTTTATTTTGACTTTCAATTATTTTGTGAAATCTAGTTTAAAGTGGAATAGGATAGTGCTATTGTGCCTTAATCGAAGATTAAAACG